GTCCAGAAGACCTATACTATTTTTTTCTTTTTGGTTTTTTACCTGGATTACTGAGATGCATCAGGACTGGTCATTATAGTCAAAAGAAGTTAGAATACACAAAAATGCGGTCAGTTTTACAAACGCTGAGCTAAAATCTAGCATGCTGGTTGATGACTACTTTAAAACATTTATAAAATTACAACTAGAGAATTTGCATTTCCTGTGAAAATGATGAATTAAGCAGCAAGAAGCTGCAGATATTGCAAAAATGTGAAATTAGCTGAAAAAAATTGCTAAAATAGCTGAAAGGTTGCTTAAAAAGTTGTAATTGGTGGAAAAAACTGAAAGAGCAAGTTTGTTGAATTAAGCAGAAAGAAGCTGAAGATATGGCAAAAAATTTAAATTAACTGAAAAAATAATTAAAATTAGCTGAAAAAGTTGAAAGTAGCAAAAAGAAACTGAAAGAGCATGCTTGTTGAATTAAGCAGATATACACTGAAATGACCATCAAAACATGCTGTTTAATACAATAAAAATTAAAAAAAAATAGCTGAAGAAAACAACATAATGAAGGGCATAAAAAGCTTAAATTAACTGCAAGAAGTAAAAAAAACACACAGAACAAGTTAAAAGGAGCTGAAGATTTGCTGAGATGCTGAAAACAGCTAAAATGAGTTTAAAAAGYAAGATGAAATCAGCAAACAAAGCATTTTAACAAAAAACAAAAGCTATCCAGGCTCAGGCTGGAAGACTAAAACTAAAACAATGGAAGAAAAACACATTTTTAAGGTTCAACACAACAAAACAAACACTGTGAACCTGGAGGGGGTAAAACAGAAGCCAGGGGATCATTAAAGGTTTATCCTCCGGGTCTATCTAATGATTATTTATTTAATCATTTCCTCCAGCTGGGACCAGGGACAGGTTCAGACCCACATGTTCATCACTATCTGCCAAGTGGGACTAAAACAAGCTCACAGATTATCAGACATGAGGAACTGAGACGTCACAGTCACCTGAGCCCATTCTGAAGCAGCTTCTTATTAAACACACAAAGTTTGATGCTGTTTAATCCTGCTGGGGTTAAATACACGACAGAGAGGAGAGAACAAGATGGAGACTGATGGACAGGTGGGATCAGAAAACAACAACCAGACAAAAACTAACCTCATCCATCTGCTCGGCTCAGATTTCACACAGGAAATGGGTTTCTCTCTCTCTTCATCGATCCCTCTCCTTCCACCTTCTCTTCTTATTTCCATCACTCCCACCTTTCAGTCTCTTCCTCACATATGAATGGATGGACAGGAAATAACAATAAAAAATAAAAACAGCTGAGGTTTTTTCCTCCCACTTTTCTGGACGTCATGGAGAAAAACAGTCTGTCGTTGAGAAAAGAGCAAATAAAATYCAAGTTGGCTGATTGTTTTTCTTTGACAACTAAAGAGTTGGCATTTCTGCAGCAATGCAGGGTGAAAGCTTTAAGGTGGAAAGATTTAATAGAAATAAGGAAAAGATGCTGAAGATTTTAGCTATTCGCCAAAAAAAGCTCAAATTGGCCAAAAAAATTGGCTGAAAAAGCTGAATCTGGCACAAAAARAGCAGAAAGAGAACATGTTCGCTGAACTAAGCAGCTGAAAGAAGTAGCTGAAATAATCACAAAAATGTGAACTTAGATGAAAAAAAACAGCTAAAAGATGAAAAAAACTAATTAGCAGAAAGAAGCTGATAGAAGCATAAACAATTGAATTAGCATAATTGTTGAAAAGAGRAAAAGGCTAGCTGAAAAAACAGGAAAAAACTAAAAGAAGCAAAGAAGAAGCTGAAATTAAAACAAAGAATTTATAAAAGCAGAACCAGAACAGAAGGTACAGGAAACTGTTAAAGGGTCAATGGACCTCATGTCAGAACCGTTGGTACACAGATTTGTTCTTAAGTTGTGCGTACGAGTGATTTAGGAGAATTTGTGACATTCAGCTCTGTGTCTTCAGAATAAATGAAAATGATTTAACACAGTTATTTATACTTTTAGCAGCTCTTTTTATTCCACAGC